TCTAAAACAATATGATAGGAATGGTTAATATATTATGTATTATTATGTTTAAATTAGTTACTCAGAGTACAAGACACCAGCATTTATAGCACCAGCCTGTCTTTTCAATTAACTAAGAGAAATTAGTAGTAGAACTATTTTAACTAAACAGTTTTCAAGTAAAGTGAAAGAAAACTAAGATATGAGCACCGCACTGACTCCCGTCAGGAGAGTCCCACCCACCTTCACTAACCCTGAGTCCCAAAGAGTCCCTTCAAAGAGAACTGCATGACTAGTGCTGCAGTAGAGGAAACAGCAAGGTTTTCATGAAGAGTTGGACTAGACAAGCTAGACATCAGGGCAGGAGCCATAGCATGGACATCAGGTGACATAGTCCAACTGGAGGAGCTGAATCCTGCTGGGAAGCTTTTTGTAAAGTACAGCCTAAGATACCCTTTTGACCCAGAGCCACTCAAACTGGGCCAGGAGTGCTCAGTGCACTCATGTAAAGCTGATCTTTCTGGCCTGTCGTTGTAGTTTAGCTGCAAGCCCCTATCCAGTATCTGCCTGTACAGCAGCCATCAGCACTGTGCTGTCCCAGTATTGCAGCCAAAGTAGAGAATGCTTTGTTTTTCTCAAATAAAGTTTCAAACACAAGGAAGCAACACTCAGAAGCCCTCTTCAGAGCATGTAACAAGGCATTACATAATACTGAGATATAGCCTTTAAGTGGTTCTCCAGTTATGTAGGATCTTCCCATACTCATTTTGAAATGAATATTCCACCAGATAATAACCATTTTGTATAATGTGGGTATGTATAAATATACCTGTACAGAGCACATTGTTTTGATTTGTCTTTATGTGAATTTCAGAATTACAAACGCCATATGGATGGCATGTATGGGCCTCCAGCCAAGCGACATGAAGGAGACATGTACAACATGCAGTATGGCAACCAGCAACAAGAGATGTATAACCAGTATGGAAGTTCTTACTCTGGCCCGGACCGAAGGCCCATGCAGGGACAGTACCCATATCCCTACAATAGGGAGAGGATGCAGGGCCCAGGCCAGATGCAGCCCCATGGAATCCCACCTCAGATGATGGGGGGCCCGATGCAGTCATCTTCCAGTGAAGGGCCTCAGCAGAATATGTGGGCAGCGCGCAATGATATGCCTTATCCCTACCAGAACAGGCAGGGCCCTGGTGGCCCCGCACAGGCACCCCCTTATCCAGGCATGAGCCGCGCAGATGACATGATGGTACCTGATCAGAGGATAAATCACGAGAGCCAGTGGCCTTCTCATGTCAGCCAACGCCAGCCTTACATGTCGTCTTCGGCTTCCATGCAGCCCATTACACGGCCACCTCAGTCATCATACCAGACGCCACCATCACTGCCAAACCACATTTCCAGGGCACCCAGCCCAGCTTCCTTCCAACGTTCCCTGGAGAACCGCATGTCTCCAAGCAAGTCTCCCTTTCTGCCCACCATGAAGATGCAGAAGGTTATGCCCACTGTCCCCACATCCCAGGTTACTGGGCCACCCCCTCAGCCACCCCCCATCAGAAGGGAGATTACCTTTCCTCCTGGCTCTGTGGAAGCATCACAGCCAGTCCTGAAACAAAGGCGAAAGATTACCTCAAAAGATATTGGTAAGAATTCCAGAGATTTGTTGTCCTGGAAATGAATTCTAGTTGCAGTCTGATATTTTAATTTTAGTGTTAATGTAGTTCCTATCAGTATCTATAATAGGATAATATTCTGATATGATTGAAAATTATCAGGATGCTCTTTATATAGGAGCGGTAGTTGGAATCCAGTAGTTTCTTAGTGCATGGGCATGGTGGCACGCACCTATAATCCCAGCACTTGGGAGGCTGTAAACAGGAGGATCTCTACGAGTCCAAGCTATGCAGTGAGACTCTGTAGACCTGCAGACCCTGTCCTAAAAAAAAAAAAAAAAAAAAAAAAATTAAAAAAGGAACAGTGCAACAAAAGAGCTTGAAGTAAAATCGTAATGCTAGAAGTCAAAATTATTTGTATGAGAAATTGGAGCTCCATATGAGTGATGGGGAATCTTCAGTGATTATGTACTGTGTTTGGTTTTAAAGATTTGACCTTAAACAAGGCACTTAATCTTTACAGTACATGCTTAAAAGATACATTATAAAGCTAAGGATAACCTGGGAAAATTTGAGGGGAAGCCACTGACTTAGTGGCTACATACAGTGAATTTTCAAGAGGAAAGTAAAAAGATACATAGCTACAAGATATAAATACATGCACACATGTGTTAGTCAACTTTCTGATGCTATGGCAAGATTTTACCTGAGAAAATCAACTTAGAATTACATTTTGGCTCACAGTTTAAGAGGTTTCATGGCTGGTTCCCGTGCTGTGGGCCACAGGTGAGGTGAACACATGGGGGCAGGGCATACTCAAAGAAACTGCTCACCAGTGGCCACCAGAGTAGAAAAGAACAGGCGAAGAGTTAGCTGTGCTCATCTGGTCACCACCTCCCAATAAGGCCATCAAATTATGGGATGCATAGGAAGGTTGATCCGTAGGAGAATCACAAGACTGAACCCAACTTGGGGGGGTAGTAATTAGCAAAACCCTATCTCAAAATTTTTAAATATTAAAAGGATTGAGAATGTAGTTACATGCAAAACCCCTGGTTTCAATTACCAGTACCACAAAAAAAAAAAGAAAATTAAAAAAATCAGAATCTCTTGACTTAAAATTTGTAGTGATTAGAAAATTAAAGATACTAAATGAGTGAGATGAAAGATATTTGTAATTGTTGACATTAAATACGCATCTGTGGAGAGAAAATACTGGGCATTTTTGATAACCATTTTCATACAAAAGCATGTGTAAATACAGTTCATATTTGTGTGTATATAAAAGTTTTTTTAACATACCTTAGTGCATATTATACCAGATTGTCATCAACCTAGAGAAATTTATGCTCCTTATTTTAAAAAGAAAGTTTAGCCATTTTATTGTTGTTATTGTTTGTTTTCATCAGAAAGTTGGTATATGCCCATCTTACAAAGCTTGAAAAACAAGTGCAGATAAAATATTGGAGGGCCCACACAGGGGCTTCCCCATGACAGATTGCTGTGGGAACCCAGAAAGTGCTCTCCTGCCCACATGGCAGCGGTGGTGAGAGTCTGGGCAGAGTGTCCTCTGCACCATTCTGTGCTCATCCTGTACCCGCCTGCTTCTGGGCAGCCAGCGCTGCAAACTCAGGTGTGTGAGGAGCCATTCTCTAGACTCGTTATGTACCGATCTTTTTATCTAATCATTTTGTTTTCTTCAGTGACAGGAGTAAGGAAAACAACACCAAAAACGCCTGTTTCCCAGTCATTGGCTCAGACTATGCTCTTGAAAAATCTAACCATTAAAGTGCTGGTACTTGGGCCAGGCATGATGGCACACACCTGTAAGCCCAGTGCTTGAGAGGCTGAGGCAGGAGGATCTCTATGAGTTTGAGGCTAGTCGGAGCTACAGAGTATAGTCTAGGCCAGCCTAAGTTGCATAGTGAAACTATCAAAAAAAGCCAAAAACGGGGGCTGGGGAGATAGCTCAGCAATCTAAGTGCCTGCCTGGCAAGCACAAGGACCAGGTTTGATCCCCAGTACCACATGCCATGTAGGCCCCCGGGAGCCCCAGGTGCACTGTGCCAGCCACCAAAACTGGATGTCGCAGCATGCAACTGTGATCCCAGCACTAGAGAGGCTGAGACAGGAGGATCACTAGGAGTCCAAGCTGCATAGTGAGACCCTGTGCCAAATACATAAAAAGATTTTTTTTTAATTTTTAAAAAGGAAAAAGCACTGGTACTTACTTATTAATAGCATTTTCTAGGGGCAGGGACACAGAAATAACAGAAAAACTACATGTGAGAATCAAAAGGATGTGCTGCTTTGAAAATTTTGCTTTTGCATTCGGCATACCTGTCAGTCTTCCAGAGACATGACCTGAAGAAGCTTGTGCCTGGAGGAGGCAGATGCAGTGGAGACCTCGTTTAGGCCAGCCCAAGTATTTGAAAGCAGAGAAATGCACCTGAGATGAGAAGGAAGGCCTGCACTTAACCACACCCATCACATGTAGAAGCACATGGGCTTATATTTAACTAGCAAGCCAAAAAGAAATTATACAACAAAAGCTGCTTTGTATAACCTGTTACCTCCATTTAAAATCAGAGGATGAGGGGCTGCTGACAGCTTAGCGATCTAAGCGCCTGCCTAGGCAAGCACAAGGACCCGGGTTCAGTTCCCAGTACCACATACCATGCCAGCCCTGCTCCAAGCACTCAGAGCTGGCCACCAAGACGGGGTATGGTGGTGCATTCCTATAATCCTAGTGCTGGGGAAGCTGAAACAGGAGGTTCACTAAGGGTCCAAGCTGTGTAGTGAGACCCTGTACCAAATACATAAAATTTAAAAAAAAAAAATGAATCAGAAGAAACCAATGTTTTGTTCAACATTCTATTCCATGTTCCTGGTTCTTTTGTTATTTTCTGTTTCATACACAGAGTTAATATTACAAATATCCTTGTTCTTTCTCAATTTTAGTTACTCCTGAGGCATGGCGTGTGATGATGTCCCTTAAATCAGGTCTTCTGGCTGAGAGTACTTGGGCTTTGGACACTATCAACATTCTTCTCTATGATGACAGCACTGTTGCTACTTTCAATCTCTCTCAGGTGAGCCTGTGCCAACCCAACGCCCAACCAAATTAGAATGTTAGAAATATTAGGTAATGTACAATCTTTGAACTAATGCCTAAGTTCATTGGCAATGACTGCTAACATTTTTAATCATGATAGCAGTTATAAACCAACACTAATCAGTATGTAGCTGTTTGAGAGTTTAGTCTGGGGTACTATTCATCTCAGTCTTTATATATATATACACACATACATATGGTTGTTATAAGAAAAGGGTAACCGTGTGTGTGTGTGTGTGTGTGTGTGTGTGTGTGTGTGTACCAGATAATGGCAAAGTTAAACTGTCATATAAAATAAATGTTAGCAAGCTAGTGTGAATTAATCTAAATGTAAACTAGCTATGATTGTTTCTGTGTTGGAAACACAACTCGCTGCAGATAAACATCACATCTTTCTTTTCATTAATAAGAAGTGGTATAACATAGGAAAAGGCTTAACACATTGAGAAGCCAGAAGCACTTAATGACCCACATCCTTACCATCCAGGGAAAACAACTGTGAACTCACAGCCAAACCTGTTTCTAGGTCTGTTCCTACTTGAAGTAGTCTTCATAAAGCCTGCTACTTATAATTAGTTTAACATCCCCCTTTGTTCAGAGTTGGGCTTACAGTAGCTTCCAGAATGATGGCTGAAGAAGAAAAGGAAAATACTAAGAGTTAGCAGACTTTCCCAGTACTGGGAGGCTGAGGTAGCAAGCTCATCATGAGCTCAGGATTATCCTGAGCCCCACAGTGAGTTCAAGGCCAGCCTGAACTGTAGAGCAAGTTCAGAAACATACAGAAATTAAGGAAATATTAAGACATAGAAGTAAGAAAAGAATGTTCTCTCCTGTCACAACTGTGCTTTCTGGGAGAAAAGCTAGCACATCTGACTTCCTTGTTTCATTTAAAATGTAAGTCCAGGCCGGGGAGATGGCTTAGTAGAATAAGCGCTTGCCTGGCAAGTGCAGGGGCCTGAGTTCACTCCCCAGTTCTGCCAAAAAAAAAAAAAAAAAAAAGCAAGTCCAGAGTCTTTCATCCCCTCTTTTCTTCTCATTGAAGCCCTCGGAGTAACCCAGAAAGGCATTTTTAGTTGATAAAAAATGAATGAGTAAGGTCTAAACCTTGCGTGTGATCAAATATTTATACAAAGTAAATATTTTTACATTTGAGCTGGCTTTCACTAGGGTAATTAACTTTCATCTTTAGAATAGTTAGACTGTTGGCAGTCACCTATTTTCTTTTTTTTTTTTTTTTGCTCCGAATGCCTTCAGAGCAGGTTTGGCTGGCTTGAGTTGTGGGGATCGAACCACAGCAACCTGAGCCTGATGGATTTGTTGAAGCAGCCACTTAAAGAACTGAGCTAAGGGGCAGGCCCTCCAGTCACCTATTTTCATACCAAGATTTCCTTTATTGCCATTTCCCTAATGAAAAATCTTACACATAGAAAACTGAACATTTAGGGCCTGAACAAAAGCACATGGAAAAAGTTTGGTGCACAGGTCCTCTGGCTCCTCAAGGATGATCACTGAAAGTTCCTGAAAGTAACAGTAGGTACGACCGTGTGGCTGACTTCCATAACACTGGCATGAAGGAACTTGTTATTACCCACTTATTTTCCATACTCGCTAAATGTGCAGGAGGTGGTGTCTGTCCCTGGGCCATGCAACTGTGGAATGTCCTGCTTTTCCCTGAACACAGATGTTTGCACAGAGGAAACGGCTCCTTCTCATAGGCGGTGACTTTCTCCTGACACCTTTCGTGTTTCTGCTAGAGCTATGAACAACTGAAATGGAAAATTGCACTTTATGAGCCATTCTAATTCATTTATCAGGGACTAAATTGATTTGTTTCTAATTTTCAGTGTTTTTGAGCTACTACAGTGCTGAAATTATCTTCTCCAAAAGATATGTAGAGAACGTAAATTAGAGAACCTATGGCACCTGAGATGAAAAGAACTATAAAATCCTAAGGATATTAACTAAAAATACCAGCAAGCAAATCTCGGATACTATAGTAGGATGGTGAAAAACTCCGTAAAGTGCACATTCCTGCTCTTCTAATAATGAGCACATTGTAGCTAAATCAGAAAAAAGGGGGAGGTAAAAATAGCAAATTGCTTCCTCTTTGATAATACTAGAAGTATGGAAATGAGAAGTTGATTTTCATGTTGGCACAGTAATAAAGTCAGCAGCAAATAGGAAACACACTACATGTTGTTTAGGTGATGACGTAAGTTCCAGAATTTAGTTCTCACAGATACATAGTTTTTACCTCTCATAGCCCCAGTTAGAAAAGAATGAAAATAATTTCAAAAATGTTGTGCTAGCTTTCAGAATTTTTATCCCTCCCAGTCATAGCTGATCTCATGGCATTGTACATGTTCTTTCTCGTTCTTCTCTTCCTATTCCCTCTAGTTATCTGGATTTCTCGAACTTTTAGTAGAGTATTATAGAAAATGCCTGATTGACATTTTTGGAATTCTTATGGAATATGAAGTGGGAGACCCCAGCCAGAAAGCACTTGATCACAGTGCAGTGAAGAAAGAAGGTGACCAGTCCTTGGCGGATGACTCTGGGAAGGAGGAAGAAGACACTGCGTGTCTTGAGGAGGAGGAGGAGGAGGAGGAGGAGGATGAGGAGGAGGAGGAGGAGGAAGACAGTGAGAAGACAGAAGCTGACGTCAAGGGCGTTGCTGCTCTCACCCCTGGGGACGCCACTGCAGACCCCAAGGAGAGACCCAAGCAGGCCAGTAAGTTTGACAAGCTCCCAATAAAGATTGTCAAAAAGAACAACCTGTTTGTTGTTGACCGGTCAGACAAGCTGGGCCGAGTGCAAGAGTTTAACAGTGGGCTTCTACACTGGCAGCTTGGGGGTGGCGACACCACTGAGCACATCCAGACTCACTTTGAGAGCAAGATGGAAATCCCACCTCGCAGGCGCCCACCACCCCCTTCAAACTCCACAGGTAGGAAAAGAGAGTCCGAAGGCAAAGGAGATTCTGAAGAGCAGCCAGAGAAAAGCATCATAGCCACTATTGACGATGTCCTGTCTGCTCGGCCAGGGGCCTTGCCTGAAGACACAAACCCTGGGCCCCAGACAGAAAGCAGCAAGTTCCCCTTTGGTATCCAGCAAGCTAAAAGTCACCGGAATATCAAGCTGCTGGAGGACGAGCCCAGGAGCCGAGACGAGACGCCCCTGTGCACCATCGCACACTGGCAGGACTCGCTGGCCAAGCGCTGCATCTGTGTGTCCAACATTGTGCGGAGCTTATCTTTCGTGCCTGGTAATGACGCCGAGATGTCTAAACATCCAGGCTTGGTGCTGATCCTGGGGAAGCTGATCCTCCTTCACCACGAGCATCCAGAGCGGAAACGAGCACCACAAACCTATGAGAAAGAGGAGGACGAGGACAAGGGGGTGGCCTGCAGCAAAGATGAGTGGTGGTGGGACTGCCTCGAGGTCTTGCGGGATAACACACTGGTCACGTTGGCCAACATCTCCGGGCAGCTAGACTTGTCTGCCTACACAGAAAGCATCTGCTTGCCAATTCTGGATGGCTTGCTGCACTGGATGGTGTGCCCATCTGCAGAAGCGCAAGACCCCTTTCCCACCGTGGGACCCAACTCAGTCCTGTCACCTCAGAGACTTGTGCTGGAGACCCTCTGTAAACTCAGTATCCAGGACAATAATGTGGACCTGATCTTGGCCACACCTCCATTTAGTCGTCAGGAGAAATTCTATGCGACGTTAGTTAGGTACGTTGGGGATCGCAAAAACCCAGTCTGTCGAGAAATGTCCATGGCGCTTTTATCGAACCTTGCCCAGGGGGATGCATTAGCAGCTAGGGCAATAGCTGTGCAGAAAGGAAGCATTGGAAACTTGATAAGCTTCCTAGAGGACGGGGTCACGATGGCACAATACCAGCAGAGCCAGCATAACCTCATGCACATGCAGCCCCCACCTCTGGAACCACCTAGCGTAGACATGATGTGCAGGGCGGCCAAGGCTTTGCTGGCCATGGCCAGAGTGGACGAGAACCGCTCGGAATTCCTTTTGCACGAGGGCCGGTTGCTGGATATCTCCATATCAGCTGTCCTGAACTCTCTGGTTGCATCTGTCATCTGTGATGTACTATTTCAGATTGGGCAGTTATGACACAAGTGAGAAGGCAAGCATGTGTGAGTGAAGATTAGAGGGTCACTTATAACTGGCTGTTTTCTGTTCTTGTTTATCCAGCGTAGGAAGAAGGAAAAGAGAATCTTTGCTCCTCTGCCCCATTCACTATACCAATTGGGAATTAAAGAAATAATTAATTTGAACAGTTATGAAATTAATATTTGCTGTCTGTGCGTATAAGTACATCCTTTTGGGGTTTTTCTATTTCTTTTTTTTTTTTTTACCAAAGTTACTGTCCAGTGCATTCAAAAGTCATCTTTTGTTTTTCATAGATTTTCTTTTTAATGTTATTTTCCATGTTGGGGAAGCGAATTGACTTTAAAGAAAAAGTTTGTCAAAAGATGCTAAGATGGGAAAATTTCACCACACTGAGGCAGAAAGGTGAAAAGTTACCAATTTTCTGTGGTTTTTATTCTTCAGAGAATGAAAACCTGCATCCCATCACCCAAAGCTCTGTGCAATAGAAACTTCTAGAGTGATAGATAGGGGCTCAAGGAGGTGTGTCACTCAGTAATCAGAACTGTGAACAATACTGGTTTCTCCATGGGAAAATGATCACATTAGGCTAGGAGCAAAACTGTTTTTGGTATTGAAAGTACATCCCTGACAGCGATCAACAGAAACTGCTTCCTCACCACCACCACCATGTCTGCTGTCTGTCGTTTGGCCTCCACAGGACAGTTCTTCACAATTCCTTTCAACATTTT